AGAAAATTAACTCTATCCCAGCCGAAACCAGGACAAAATGCCTAGATTGAGTGTTTGTTTAAAGACCAGATCTTAAATCTTAGCACTGAGCCAGCAGAAATTGTACCTACGTGAAAGTAATATTGGTCCTGTACTCTGTCACATTTTACCAAAGGCGACAAACTATTTTTTTTCCATGTTCTAGTGAAAGTGACCAAATCCAGAACATGACATATTTACGTATCTAGTGTTACAGCTAACCATGTTTATCTTGGGCATTGGTAATAAATCTAGACAAACTCAGTAGCGTTTGAAGTTTATTAAAGGTGGCCTAAAAATTCTTGGATCCTTTGGAAAGAATGCCAGCTTGAAGAATAAATGGAGATTATAATGTTAGAGTCTTAAATTAAGTTACAGATTATGGTTGGTGTGTTCCTACCTGTGTTAGAAGTTCCACTGATGAAAGTAGAACCACATCGTACCTGGCTGCAGATCTTCCCAGCAAAGAGAATGGGACTTCGAGTTAACAGCTCATGCTGTACTTCATCGCAGAGAAAGTTGAGGGTAAAATGTACTTCATGTAAGTTCTCAACACCACCATAAAGCCCCCTTCCTTCCCCAGGTTGGCTGACTTTAAAAAATGGTTAGTGCCAAAGTCGGAAGGGTAAAGCAAGTCATACGGTTCTAAAATCCATTATAGCAAAACTGGAAAAATTCAATCAGTCAAAGAAATCATAGCATTTAGAATGAGTGAAAGCATAATTATGTGGATATAGAATTATGGTGTAACTGTAAGTCTCAGAATCTCAATACAAAAACCTGTTTGCATTCACTCTACAGAAGAGTATGGCATAGGCATCTTTAAATTATGTTTTTGCGTTGTTTATTCTCTTGAAGACTTTGAGGTTAATAAATTCTTCATGAATTTCTAAATGAATTTCTTCATTTTGTCCCTTCCCATGCTTGCTTGCTCTCTGCTGAGTGTCAGATACAAAATCAAAATGGACTTGCTGTCAATATTTTACATGCCAGACTGTTGCTTCAAATATGTAAATTGGCAGTTGCCATGGTGGGAACGTTGTGAATAGAAATCACACTGGAATGCTGTATTTCTGTAGCAGCCTTTCTGAATTTCCATTTCAACCAAAGGTGCCTTTCCCTTTATTCTTCTTAAAATTGTTTTATTAACTCAGGTAAGTAGTAATAGCCTTTACAGCTTAAATTTCTTTACCCATTCATCAAGTTTGGGAGTTATTTGAATATTACAATGTTCACTGGAGTAAAAGCTACAGGACTTTGGATTGGCTACACTTAAAGGTGACCAAGTTATTTCTAAATTACTTGGTAAATGTAAGTGGTAGCAAATTGAATTTATTTCTGACTTGACCTTTCAATTCCAACATTAATAAACCAAAGGTTAAAATGTGTGACATTTTCTAGGTATCTTTCAGTAATCAGATGATGTTCAAAAAATGTGGGCTTTTTTGTTGGTGGTGTTCTCAAGGGAAGTGTGAAGGGCTAATCGTGCTGGGGATTTTTATTTCTGGGTTGGCACGCACAGCTGGCAAAGCTCGGAAAGCAAAATACAGCTTTGAGACACGCAGGTCTACTTAAAATATTGCCAGCATGAGTTGTAGTCAGGACACTCTCAAAGAAGTTTTTTAAACCAGCCACAGAGCATTAAACGTAACACGGGCAGGTCGATGTGCTGTAAGTGAACCTGAGCAATATCGTCAGTGAGAAATTTAGCTGTTGGTTCAGATTTTGACTATGTATTCTAAAAATGTTTTTTTGCTTACAGCCACCGATGTCCATTCAGTCCATTGTGGTGCAAGTCCAGTGTGTTAACAAAAAGGTTGGCACCATTATCAACCATGAAGTACGGATTGTGGTGAGAGACAGGAACGATAACTCGCCCCGGTTCCAGCAGCAGCGATACTACGTGGCTGTAAATGAGGTCAGAACCGCTTACCTTTTTTCCTCTTTCTCTTTTGTGTGGTGTCTTTGCTAAATGCCAGCTCTCAGCTCTTTCACTTCTCATTTGAAAACCTGGGAAATTCAGCTGTTTTAAAATCCCTTCCATTTGTATTGCTTTGGAAGAACGCAGCGCAGACAGCGTACTTCAGTTTTCAGCACGTAAGCTGTTCTCTTAATGAGTACGAAGATTCATCAGCATGCTTGTAATATTGCAGAAGGCGCTAGCATCTGAACTTAAGTCTCAAGGAGCGAAGCATTGATTTCTGTTAAATTTACAAAATGTTTTACTGCATGATGCAGTTGTATCAACAAACCTGGAAGTAAAACAAATGTATTTGTGAAAAACAAATGTAAAGCAAAGGGTTCAAAAGGGTTTATTAACAATATTGAAGCTTGGCAAAGTGCAGTTTTTGTTTATGGCTGTTTCTCCTTTTTAAATGATGCCTGTGAATGGAATTATTTTGCTTTATCTTTTTATGGAATAGACAGCAGTGGATTGGACTTCTCCGTATTATTTGAAGGAAAAATTTTATTTGTTTCTCGAGCTGGTGCAAACTTCATTTCACTTTACAGTGAAGTTTTTTTTATTCTATTAGGGATTGAATGATCTGCTAATAACCAGTACAAAGGATCTGTGTTTTCAGTAAGTTAATATTCTGGGGCTTTAGGTAGTAAGAAGTGGAAGTAGGAGCTTACATGCAGAAGTGGAAATGTCCACCCTGAAACTAAGAGGAGAATGGAAAGATAGGTCAGTCTTCTGCAGGTAAAGATGTGAAGAATTACAGTCATATTTACAAAAATAAAGCTGTTAAATATGCAGTGTGCATTGCATCCCTGTTGGGTGGGTTTTGTTTTGTGAAAGAGCGTGACTGCTTTCATGCTGTTTGATTTTTAGTAGAATTGATTTGCTGTTTCAAAAAAACTTCCATAGTTTCGTGTGTTTGGGAGGTTCAGCTTTTCAGCGTGTCTGCGTGCAGCCAAGTGATGCGCAGGAGATCTCATAGCCCCCAGGAGAGGAGTGGGAGAGTTGGTTGATGAGTTTAGGCCTAATTAAGCCAAAAGTGTGGAGGGGAGGGGCAAAAAACCCCCCAACCCCACATTATTTTTGGGTAGCGAGCTGCAGTTGAGCTAAGGACATACAGGTTTTTCACACTTAGTGGTCTCCTGACTAGTGACACCTTTTAAATTGAGATTGTTTCCCTACAGACAAATTGTCGGCAATTCCTTTACTGATGTTTCTTACCACCAGAATTTGGAGGTCACGAAATACCATCTGTATGAGTACCAGTAAAGTCCTTCTTACGCTTCCAAATTATTTTCAAGTTGGCCTTTACACGTTAATTGTAATTCCTATGTTTTTGCAGACCTGTTGCAGAAGTGCTTCTGGTCTTGAGCAAAGGCAACATAGACATTTGTCTGAAGTGCCTGTATGGGCTGCGATGCAGGTCCCGGATCACTTCCAAGACCTGCATAATTTTTGCAGTGAAAACCAAAGGCAGGTAGTATGTCAGTGCTGTAAGGAAGCAAGGATTTTCCATAATTAGAAAGAAGTCCAAAAGACAGAGTGAAAAATGCACCATTTAAAATTGTATTAGAAATTCAGCAAAGTTGCAAGTATATGCAATCATCTATTTGCATCGCTGTTGGGCGAAATGCAATGTTGTTCTTCCCACCAGTTGCAGTCCTGATTTAATTAGCTGCTTTGTTTCATTTTATCACTGTTACGCTTATAGCTTCTGACACTGCGCCACTGTGCCCTTCAGCAGTGCCCAGTGGGTTAATGCTCTCATTAATTAACCAAAAAAAAAAAGTTCACAAAGCATCTCAGACTTTCTCAAAGGTTTTAGTGAGTGATTGCATTTTTTAATGATAGTTTATTCTGCTAGTAATTGGCACTGCCTCTAGTGAATTTAACTACAGGAATGCACTGGAATGAGAGTTTTGTGGTGATTTGTTGATTACCTCTGGTCTTCTGTTTTTTGTTTGCTTGTAAACTGAAAAGTACAGAAATTTCTCTTACGTAAGGAACATAAAGCAAATCAAAGGACAAGTAGATTTTTATTTCCGCTACCATACACGTGAGCATCACAAATATCTCTTTATTTTTTCTAGCCAGGAAATTTCCTCTGTGTCAATTTGAGTACTTGTTCAGGTGCTTTACAGGGCTGTGCTTGGCAGTTCCTCCTCTCAGCTGCCACATCTGTCTCTGGCTGTCCTGCACGGGATGAAGAACACATGCACTGTGGCTTTATAACCATAGTGCAGTCACTGGTGCTTGCACAAAACGTTAGGGGGACTTCCCACACGTGCTGTTTAATCCACCTGCACGTACACACAACGTACACGTTGGATTTACAACTCCTGTGCTAAGCGGCTTGGCAGTGTGCACCCTTCGTAGTTGTAGCGTCTCCCAAAAGTATCGTGTCTCCTGTATACACCTACTGTAAGGAAATCCTGGGCAAAAATATGTCAGCCTTGCTATTACTCTTTTCTTTTTTTTTTTTTTTTGAGTAAAGTCTAGGGCAAAGATTTTCCCAAATAGTCAAAACTTTTGTAATTATTGGCACCTGCAATACAAGACAAGTAACCTGTAGCTAGATTTTACTTTATTAGGTAGTTTTTCAGTTTCAGAAATGTCAAGGGGTAAAATTATATTTTGGAGAAATATCAGGGGTTTTATGTCAAATATTCTTTATATGTGAACTGTCCACAACATACTAAAATTAATTTGTAAAAGAAGCTGAGGGTAGTTGTAATACCAAAATAAATCCTAGTTTCACACGTGTCTTTTCCATTGGCACACAAAAAGACATGCTTTAAAATTAAGCCCATATTTTTCCAGAAGGCTTAGAATGAGATGGATTTGGTAGGGTAGTGTCTTGGTTTACACCAAAATGTATGTCAATTGTTAGAAGAGGAGGATGCCCGTATTAAGTTAGACCAAAAGCTCCACTAATCCAGTGTATTTTCTCTGCCAGCGGCCCTTGCAGATGCTCAAGGAAGAGCGTAAGGATTGGGAAACATGAAGTGGTGCTTTCCCAATGAGCTCACCTGAGCTCCGGTCACTTGTAGCTGTAAAATATGTTAGACCAAAGGCAGTGTATGTAATAGCTCTTGATTAATTTTTTTTTTTCTCCCCAGTTGCTTGCGACCATGTCTATATTAAAATTCCTATTACAAGAAATATTGACTAATCTGTATCAAACTCCTCCACGTTGTCACAGGCATCTGTCACAGCATCAGAAGTTGCATGGGTGTTAAGTTCAGAAATACCTTGGTAGCATTTACTTGATTTTTTTAAAGCCATCCTTCATCCTTTAGGAGTAGAGAATTTTAGCGTTAACACCTATTTCCTGATAACCTCAGTGTTTCTGAGTGGTAATACTCCCTTCGGTCTCCCTTCTCCTACCTCTGAGTTCCTCCTAAAATGTGTAAGCACGAAGAGAGCAAAATTTCATGCCTTAAGGCAAACTTCCCAAATCCTCCAAAATATGTGCACTTATTAAAACAATACCGATGTGGGCTCTCTTACGAAAAAGCCATGGTCCCTTCCTTCCTTACTCAAGGTGTTTTAAAGTCTTTTTTCATCTTGTCAGGTCTTATCTCCGATACTGAGATGAGAAATACCACAATTTCTCACTCCGTTGCTTCAGATATCTTCATCTTGATCCTAAAAATGCTGAGAAATCTCTACACATGGATAGTGTCTGTATAATTTGGCTCTATTCTGCATATTGACAAATGATCCTTAGCGATTTAAGTGTTTTCTTCTGTCATTTGCACACTTGAATGTATAGAAGACCTCTGGGTAAAGTGTTCCAGAATTAAAATGTGCACAGAAGTTTATGTTCCCCTCCAGTGCATTTCTGGTTTGAAAATGTATCTTTTGCATCTAAGTATAAAAATTAGAATTACATGTTTATTGAGGAAGTACTTTTTTTCAGGAGGATCTTAATTATTCTATTAAAAGCATGGACTTTTCACATGTAGCTGCAGCGTGATTGTTCTCATACTCGTTAATGTCGATGGAGCCTGTAACGTTCATTTGACATGATGGCTTAGCTTTGAGCGGTAGTGCTGGTGCTCATATTCAGTTACAGTTAAAATTGGTTTTCAAGTTCAGCTGCTCAGTTTGAAAGAGAATGTCTGTTTCCCTCAAATAACTGTGTGGTCTTTAGGCAAAGTGTTATTATCTGAGTATTTATTAATTAAATAGCTAGAGTTAGCTAATCGGAAAAAACCCACCCTCTTTTTTTGGGGGGGAAGGCAGCAAAGGAAACACCCTACATGTGTATGTGTGTATATCTACATTTATGTGCACACTTGTGTGTGTACGTATTTATGTATAAATAGTCTCCATTTTCTCTGGTCTTCAGTAGTCATAGGGGGCTAATGCAGACACAAAATAGCCATCTGCTTAAAATTAACTGGCAGTTTGTGCATAAGCGATGGTCAAGAAGATGAGGTTGTAATTGAGCTATTGACTTTTTTTAGTTGTTTGGGCTATGAAACAGATTTGGGACATAATTCAGACAACTCCTAAGCGGCGCTGTTCTGGCATCTGAAGTTACTAAGCCGATCATCACTCCTGGGCTGCTGCCGCCGTGCGTGCCGCACCGCAGAGCCTGCGCACGCACTAGGACAGGAATGGGCTCTTGTCCTTCATGTCACAACCGGCCCGGTGCTGCCTTTCTGTAAGGAGCGTGGGGCTTCAGGTTTTTTGTCTGTATTACAGCAGGCTCCGGCCTCCCCAAGAGCATAGTGCAGCACAAATGCGGGAGCCCTTTAGAGGGGAGCTACCATTTAGGAGCAAGTTTCCCTTTTCCCTTTCTTTATCCTTTTTCAAGAAGAAGAATGTAAATGTCTCAGCCAAAAGCAAATCTAACTGCTATCCACAGCATTATGAATCTCCTCATAAAAGCAAAAATGAATTAAGGTTGATGTTCAAATTTTTATGATAAGTAGAAATACTCTGCCGGG